GAGGGCTCGCGCGCCAGCCCCCCGAATGCCGCATTCACACGCGCGCCCCGGAGCCCCCCAAGACAACCCCACCCCCTCGAGGGCCACGGCACCCCCTCGGCCCGCGCACACCGCCCCCGGGGGGATCCCCGCTGCCTCCCGCTTTCCCGGAGGGCGCCCTGCTCTCCAACTGAGCGACGTCCTTGCACTGGGCAAAGTCAGGCGCTCCTCCCTTCCTAACCCATCTTTTGAAAAAAAGAAAAAAAGGGAGCCAGAGAAAGAGGCAGAGAATACCCAACTCCGGGAGGCAGCTTCTCGGCAAGCCAATGAGGAGCCGCCTGGCTAGCCGTCACCTGACCCCCAGCCGGCCAGCCCATTGGCCCCAAGCCGCCTGATTGACAGGGTTTAACATTGAATATGGCAGCTTCGTTTAAGCCCTGCCTGCTGATTGGACGGGCTGGGTTTAGCGAAGCCCAGGTAAGGTTAAAGGGTGTCCTGCCAGCCCAAATGTTTTGTTTACTGGAGATACAATTGGGCGCGGGGGGGGGGGAGAGATGATGGTCCTGGGCTGGAGGGGGTACTTGGGCAGTATGCAGAGCCACCCCCAAGCAAGGAAGGAAGCAGAGAGTGCTTGTTCGGATTTAGGAAGAAAACTCCAGTCCTTCTGATGGTCTGCTTACTCTTCTCCTATATAGAGTGTGTCCCCCCCCCACACACACACACGCAAGCACCCATCTACAAGGCTGTCCGCACCATTTTCTTTTTCTACTTCGGGGTGTGTGTGTGGAAAAAAATCTCCCTTCAATTTCAAAGAAAAAGGGGAGAAGGAATTGGGGGGGGGGTGGACTGAAAGAGAGCAGAAAAGACAGGAGAATTCGCCTCTCCGCCAGATCTGCCAAATTTCTGTGCAAACATAGCCATTGTTATTTAACCACAAAATGATTCGATCTAATGACACGGGCGCTGAAAATGTTTTCTTAAGGGATTTTTTTATTATCATTATTATTTTAAAAGGAAAACAGAGAGGAGGGTTGAATTACTTCTGTTTACTTTTTTCTTTCTTTCCAAAAAAGAAGTTTGTGTTTAGGGGAGCGGGGACTTTTTTTTTTTTTTAAGTGTGCTTGATTTATTGTTCCTAGGTGAATGTATTCTCTGGCAAAAACATCATATATATATATATATTCGCTCCTTCGGGAACCGAAAGCCCTTCAGAATTTCAGAGTGTGCAATCATTTCACTTTTTCGCCCCTCTTCCTATTTCCCTCTCCAAGGTGAAGAAGAAACCTTTACATTTAACGAGGGAAAAGGGGATGGGTCAATTTTATTTTATTTTTAACTTGCTTTAAATTTTCTTACACTTCTGCGTGGAAACAAGACAGATGGGTGTTTCCCTCTCGATAAAGAGCATATATTATCCCGAAATCTTTGGCCAGCGGATCAAAGAGCTCCGGGTTTTATATTTTTTGATTAATTTCCTCCCCCTCCTTTTAAAAGCGTCTGCGGTGTTTTTAACCGGCCATAATGCTCCTCTTTTTGCAGCCGGGCTCCCCCCCCCCTTCCCTCCCCCAGCCCTCTATAAATCCACTCATTTTCTCGTTCTGGGAAGCATTTGCAAAGAACGATGGGGGGGACCAAGTGTGGAAAGAAAAGGATCCGAAAGAAAGATGCCAGTAATTGTAATATCCTGAGATTTGCCGAGTCCCCCAAGACTCTCCATTGAGAGCCCCTCACAGGATTGCCGCCGTCTCTCCGCAGGAAACACACAATCTGATCAAGTTCAGAAGCCCACAGAGAAAGTGCTTCAAACGGCGCTTTATAAAACACGACCCCCTTTTCACATCCTTCCCCCCAGTCAGCCCCAGGAAAAGACTTTCACATTCTTTATTTTAGGGTCTGGCCAAAAGGAGAAAGACAGAGGCAGGCAGACAGAGAAAGCGAGGGGCTACATACATACATATCTGTCCATGCACACATGTACAATTCAGTTAGCAGCATTTCCCCGTTCACCGGCCGGCCCCCGCCCCCGCCCCCACCAGCCACCAAGGGCCTAACTCCCCAAGTAAGAGGTGAGTCTCCGTCTGTTTCTTCCAGTATTGCTTTCGATTGATCGATTTGTCTGTTTGTTTGCAAAAAGTCCTCTCTTCTCCTCCTGTTTGGAAGACAGAAAAGATGTAGAAGAAGAAGAAGGGGGGGGGGAGAGAGACTTAATTTACCTGGGTGGGAGCTTTGGGAGGGGTTTGCTGTTTGGCTCCTTCCCAGGCCAGAAGGCTTCACTTTGTCGAACAGGGCAAAGAGCGAGAGAGACTTTTCGAGGGAAGTGCGGATACGAAGTAATGTCTATTTATAAAGACGCGTCGTTCTTGCCTTGCCGGGTCCCCTGCCTTCTTCTCTGGGCCTCCGTGATCCTTGCTTGGTAGTGAGACGGGGCGCCGTGGGCGGGGGGACGGAGACCTGCAGGGAAAGAAGGGGCGAGCTGAAAGATTGGGCCAGAGGATGTATTTCGGAAGCCACAAAGGAGTCAGGGGAAAGAGGGGTCTTTTGCCACCGCGAAAAGCAGGGGTCTGCAAAAAAAAAAGGGGGGTCTCTTGCCCACCCAGAGCCCCCCCTCTGGTTCTGCCGAGATTTTCCTCCCAGGGGATACTCAAGGTCG